TAGCGCGGGCGGAGTATGGAAACAGAGCCAGGGTATCACCCTTCACCCCATATCCTGGGCACTTTTGAGCGGAGAAAGTAGATCGCAACTGTAGCTGCGGATCTCTCGACCTCGCACAGGAAAGAACTGTCTCAGGAGCTGAATGTGCATTTAGTTTCAAACTTTGTACTAACACTCTTTAGGGGCCAGCTTCTCTTTTCATAAAACCTCGGCATTATTGTGAACTTTCAAGTTGTAATGTATTCTGCCAGAGAGGTTGTAGGTGGAAGACTTTATTGAACTTGGCCTGACGTTTCGACGGGATCGTCGTCCTCAGAGGCCAGTCCACCACCACCACCACATGAGCGGAACGATGCCACTCGCTGTTAGTTGTAGTTAGTAAAAAATAATTTAAATGTAAAGTTTTACTAACTACAACTAACAGCGAGTGGCATCGTTCCGCTCATGTGGTGGTGGACTGGCCTCTGAGGACGACGATCCCGTCGAAACGTCAGGCCAAGTTTCAATAAAGTCTTCCACCTACCAACCTCTTTGGCAGAATACAACTTGAAAGTTCACCTCTGCGGGCTTTTGTGAAAGGCCGCGCTAGTTCAGGCACCGGGTCTGGTTTCAGTCTAGACACGGTGCCTGACCTGGCTGGTCAGAACAAAATGCCCCCCCCATCGCCGAACAGCGCCGAGGGAAATTTCAATCCGTTCACAGCATAATATCAAACTATGTGACATGTGCTGTCATTCTGTGACCGCCCTACAATTACCGGTCATTGTCATCTTCCCGAGCTTCGATTCTGGAAACGGACTTGTTAGCTCGATAGATTTTGGGGATCTTCTTTTTCCGTAAAGCGATTTCAATCGCCTCTTTCCGCCCTTCAACTTCTTTTCGTTCACGTGGCGGTATATTGTCCACATAAAAGAAGTATTCATTAGGTGGTGGCCATAGGGCTACCTAGAAAGCTTCGTTTGGGTATGGAATCAGAGAAAACCTTTATAAGTCTTCTTACTCGCGGCATTATGTAGCATAACGGTGGGCAGCATATGATCCAACAACAGCGTCCTGTTCTTTGTAACATCGCGTCAACCTGATTTAGCCTTTCCTAAAAAGCATCGACAACGAAAAGCAGAAGAACTGTGTGGAATGCGAAGGAGCACGTACTTTGATCAATAGCCATTTAGTGACCGGACAAATACAGAACCGTTCTAGTCGACGATGCCTAAAACATACAGAATTCTATTCGAACTTTTCCAACGCACATTCTGTGCTATTCCTATAGGCAAGGTCTCTTCCAGTAGTGCCTCGCTTTGGTGAGCCTCTTCTATTAGTTGAAAATGAGGGGAGGTAAACTAATGAGAAAAGTGCATTGGTGAAGGTGGCTTCGCTCCCACGATCAGCGCGTGATGTGTCTTCAAAGTGAATCTGCACACTCACGCGCCAGGACAGTATTTTTGCGTGAGTTACGGGTTGGCAGGTGCACAAGTGCAAAATTCTAGTCCTAATACCAAAGAAGTGAGGCTGAAAGGCAGAACAAGATACTCGAGTGTCGTTCCCGGACTCCACCGGCGCTGTCCTCAAGGTGTCCACTTGCGTGGATATACAGGGGGGAGGGCAAAAAAAAGTCACTTTGCTTCATTGACTTTCGAGGCGCTATAAGTTACTTTATAAATTCTGATCGGACATTTCTACCACCATATTAAAGAGCATATTAAATACTATTATGACACTCCGCCACAGCCTTCTGGAGGAGCGCCATCGAGAGATTCTGGCACGCAACCGCGATGTGGTCCCTGAGATCAGCGAGATAGTCGATTTCTCCGCCACCGTAGACCACCCTATTGAACTCCGCCCGAACCGGGTAATTGAGGGGATTCAGGTCAGGTGACCTACTTGGATATTCCATCTTCTTTAGGTACTCAGCCCCCTTCCATTCCAAGGTAGGCGAGAGAACGCCCTTCGATTCCACGTGGTGGCACCCAATGCTGTAGCAGTACAAAGTTTCCAAGAAGGTACGGGCGACGACATGTGGGGAAGATATTCTTCTTGAGTTGGTCGATGTAACCGCCAGCGCTCAGCTTCAGCCCGGGGTCCACGAAGAAAATATTGGTCTTTCCATTCCAGGTACGTCCGGTCCATACCATCAACGCGCCTTGGCGACTGCCGTGAAGATGATGTCCTAGACCGTAGCGACGTTGTCGGAGCTGCTCGATGTTGGAGGTCTTCCAGATTGAGAGTACTGGTCTCCAGGTAGCTACCATGGGTGACTCCATACTAGAAGTTTCGCAGCTGTTGGAGGTGACATGAATTCCAAAGGTCTTCTCCAGTCAGGCTGCGACTGGAGATGACTTCATATTTTGGTGTACATGAAGGTGATGGGGGCCAGCTCCTGCTTATCGAGGAACATCTTGGGTATCTTCCGCCCTGGTACTCGTATCCACGTCTTCTCTCTGGGCTGCGAAAACTTTGCTGATATGTGACTCGGTCGAAGTGACTTTTTTGACCCTCCCTGTATATACCCCGCAGCTGACATGTAGTCAAAGATGAAAGGTTAGTCTTCCCTCCGTTGATCAATCCCTTTGTGGGATGCGGCACGCATTCTACTTCCATTCAGAATCGTAGTGGCTTATTGAATGCGATGTGGCCCTATGACTTGCGGTGGCCAGCCGATGTACAAGTCAGTGTTTTATCCTCCCAGACGAATCTGGTACCAATTTCCCCGGAGGGTAGAAGGCTTGGTTGGCCTGGGCGGGAGTCGACCCGGGATTCGAACCCAGGACCGCGCGAGTGGTGAGCGCGCCACTTGTCACACCACCTCCTGCAGTCAATGATAGAGAACAACACTATGTAAAAGGACGTAGATAAGTATCCTGCCTACGGTTAGGTGATTGGCTGACCGTGCGGCAGCGCTCGCGGAGTCGGGAGATGGCACGCGAGTACAACCACCCTCCAGCCCCATCCCCGTTCACCTTTGACTGGAGAAAATGGCGCTCTAATGCAGCAGGTTCCGTTCACTTCACATATGGGAAGGATCAGGATCTAGGGGAGCTTATCTTCCTCATGAACTGACTTGTGCCGTTCAATTTTCTTCAGGAAATACCGCTCGCATCGTATGGTATGGTCGTCGGATGGTGGACCGGTTCGACGTGAAGGTGTATGAACTGGAAAATACAGTATGACGCAGAAATCTGCGATAATTAGCAATGACTTTATTAGTGAGCTGGAAAACCTGTAGCTAGAGGATGTTGAATTCACAAATCAATGCTGGGTGCAACCCTTCCTACTCCTTATTCGGAACTCCTTATTACAATTCCGTATACGGACAGAAATTGGAACTTGAGAGCTCCTGAACTCCGAAACGTTTGTGACTGCGGTTCTTCATCTGTTGTCCTATCAACCTTGACCTGACACAGGTAAAGGCTTCATCTGTCAAGATTTTTCCAAGCAACTTTTTGCTTACCCTCAAAACGAATTGAACCGTCGACCACTAGAAGGGCAAGCCCCTTTTGACCAGTCGGCTACTGATACTTTGTCCCGAACAAACCAAACTAAGCGATGAAGAAGAAGCTCGAATTCCTTCATTCCCTCCAGGCCCGATATCCGCCTAAGCTGCAAATGGTTTGAAAGATTGTAATTCCCGAAAAGATAAGTTGCCGTATTTGCCCGTTTATAATTGCTGCACTACTTTTCATGCTCCATTTTTTGGGCAATACAGAAAACGTGCGAAGTAGAGCGCATTTCCAAAGGGGAAGACTAAAACTCACCGAATTTCGCTCTAAATGATTTCTTGCCTTCTTTCTGAAACGAAATCATTTTGATGTTC